GAGGAAAAGAACACCTTTTTCGAGTAGGTAGGTAGCTATTAAGTACTTGCTCAAAACAATCTTTTTCACATCACACTTTCAAAACTCTTTTTTAAAAACGCTTTATCAACACTCTTGAGGACTGATACAAGAGTTATCATAAAGCATGCAAACTTTTCAAAACACACAAACACGAAAACAATTTTCAAAACGAGCAAGTACCTAAAAGCCCGTGGAAAACCACAGATGGAAAGGGTGCTAAAACCTTCCCTTTCCATAATCTACCCCCCTTACTCAGAAAATCTCGAAAAAGGTCTTTTTTTATTCTTTTCACCCATTCCTTTATTGGATAAAAGAAAAGTCGGTGGCGACTCTTGCTTACCGCAACATTTGTGAACACAAACGCAAAACCAGTATTAACAATCGGTTCTTCCACCGTATCACAGAACTGGCAACTCTACTGGGGAACAAATAAAAACTGGGGTTTACCTTAGGGTCTAGTTTATTTCTAATTTGTTTTTTATGTGTTTTGATTGCTTTACTTTTAAGGGTATTGTTGGGGTGACTATAGATCCTACACCTGGATCTGGAGAAACCTTTTAGGTAAGTAGAAATAGATCGTGGAAACTTTGTAGGGTATACTGACACAGTTGAAGCGATAGCTACGTTGATGCGACACTTTAGTGGGTACTGGTAGCCCTTGAGTTGATCAAGGAGAATACGGGGCCGCTGCATGGTGTCATGAAACATTGACTGACCTTAGAACCTTTAATTGAACAACTTAGCTATTAGGACATAGTGAGATAGACGTCATTGGTGTATCCCCAAAGTCGGTTGATACTCGATACTACACTCATTGAGATTCGACTCCCGAGTTTTGTTTGGTGGCAAGTCAGTTGTCTATCGGAATGAAACTTGTGGGAAAGGTCAGTGATATTGAGATCCCTTAGAACCCGGTTACTATTTATAGGATATGTTGAACCAATCAAAATTTCAAGAGGGTATTACCTTAAAACTCATGCAAGCCTTAAACCTAAGGTCTTTGTGTGATTTGCTTGTGCTTGATATATTTGTGATTTCTTAGCATAATCATGACATCATAACATGGCATATCATACTAACCATTTCAAGGATTTTCTAGGGCTTATCTTTGTCTTTTCTTGTAGGACATGGCATCCGCTCGCAGGAACACTATCCAAGTGAACCTTGTGAGGATACCTCCTCAACTCAAGGAATTAGCATCAAGGATTCCTGAAAGCTCTCCCTTCACTGAAAGACATGGTCGACTTCTCAACTTGGTGACCTCAAACTCTGATGAAGAAATGATAAAGGTGCTCTTTCAGTTCTTTGACCCTTTACATCACTACTTCACTTTTCCTGATTACCAGTTAGTACCTACTATGGAGGAGTTTTCTCAGTTATTGGGGGTACTTGTCCTTAATCAATTACCATTCAACGGTATGGAAAGGGACCCAAAACCTGAAGAGATTGCTCAAGCTCTGTCTTTACAACGGTCTGATGTAGTGGTAAATTGGGAAACTAGAAGAGGTGTCCAAGGATTTCTAGCTAAGTTTCTATTTGAGAAAGCTCACCATTTTTGGGATAACCTGGATTTACAAGATTTTAAAGAAGTGTTGACCCTTCTCATCTATGGTATGGTGTTATTCCCTAACCCGGGCCAGCTCATAGATGTGAATGCTGTCAAAGTTTTTCTGTCTCATAATTAGGTGCCTACTTTACTTGGGGATATTCTACACTCTCTGCATACTCGCACTCTAAAAAGAAGAGGGACCCTTCTGTGTTGCACCCCTCTTTTGGCTAGGTGGTTTATTTCGCACCTACCCTGATCTGCTTTGAAGAATGAGCAGGGTATGAGATGGTCTCATAGGTTGATGTCCCTTACACATTCGGATATTCATTGGTGTTCTCGATCCTTGGAGAATGTTACCATCATTGATCGCTATGGATAATTCCCCAATTTCCCCCTCTTAGGAATTATGGGAGAATCACTTATAATCCTTGTTTGGCGTTGCGACAGATTGGTTATTGTAGAAGGGATGGTCCTCATGACGCACTCATCCAAGGAATCATATTTGACTATGAGGATGATGTTTACAGTTATCGTAAGAGGTTCATTCGAGCTTGGGGAATGGTAAATAGAGTTGATAGCAAGACACTGGGGCACAAGAATTCCATCCCTCTTGAGCCTTACCTCAAATGGGTGCGAGCTCGTGCTCAATGTATTATGATGCCTTACCCTGCTATTTTACCTGTGATTATGGAGCCAATTGCTGAGGGAGACACTCCTTACATTTCTCTTCATCCTGACATGACAACTGATTTCGAGGAACTACAGAAATCATGGATCCAACTCAAAGAAGAACGGGATACCTTTGAAACCCAATTCTACGCCAACGGGAAGAAGGTTTTAGAGCTCACTAGGTTACTTCACAAAGAGAAGAGTATAAATGCTTACATTTCACCAAAGAGGATGCGCCTGTGGGAAGCTTGAGTTTTTTGCTTTGGGAGTTTATTTTTGCTTTTTTACTTCTTTTGTAAGTCCAAAAGGCATCATTGTAACCGTTAAAACTTCTTAAAGCAATTAACGTTTGTTCTCTTTATTTTTAAGCAAATTTAAGTCTTAGAAATCCTTGAAAACATTGCTTACATATATCATACATATCATTGCATGAATAGGTTTCAAAGCAGGGTTCTCATCTTCTTCACTATTTATTTCAGCAATGGCTCTCAAACAAATAATGAAGGATCTACAAACTCAAAATGCCCAGTTTGAAAAAATGATCATGGCTCTGGCAAAGGGGCAAGAAGAGCTGAAAGCCCCGATTGTCAAAGAAAATACCAAGAAGCCAAAGAAGCCAGCTGGTGTGGTGAATTTGGGAAGGAGGTTTAGAGGATCGTTAAGGCAAGTTGTAGAACTAGCATCTTCATCAAAAGAAGGAGACAATCGAGAAGGAGAAACAAGAGAGGAAGACCCCAGTCTAAGGGAATCTGATAATGAGTCTGACTATAATGAGAAGCAGTATCCTCCGACAGATGATAAGTACAAACAGTTGGAGGATCGTCTGAACGCAATTGAAGGTATGTCTATGGGTTCTAGCGAGGGTTTTAAAGACTATGCTCAGAAGTGGAGAGACCTAGAGGGAATATTCCAACCCCCTCTATCTGATAAGGAGTTGGTGGATATGTTTTTGGGTACCCTATTTAGTCCGTTTTTCAACCATCTGATTGAAAGCTCCTTAGTTGGCTTTACTGAGTTGATTTTGACTGGAGAAAGAGTGGAAGCTGGTATTAGAAGTGGCAAGATTCAGAAATATGCCTCTTCAAGTGCAGGAAAGAGACCTTTCATGGGAAAGAAAGAGGTCAGTGTTGCCTATAGTCAAAGAAATTAGGGCCGAACCGAGCGCCTTCCAATGGTAGGGGCTGTTATGATATCCAAGCCTGCAGTTGCTCAACATCAGAACAATCATCCTAGAGTAGAAAGGCCCACGAGACAGTTCACCCGGATAAATATGAATTTGTCTCAAGTTTTTCCTCACCTGCTGAAATCCAATATGGTTACCTTGAGGGAAGCTCCCAAGAATACCAACACCGCATCTCCTCGCTACAACCCAAATGCTCGTTGTGCTTACCATTCAGAAAGTCCAGGACATGATACAAACGACTGTTGGTATTTGAAGAACAGGGTGCCAGACCTTATTGAGGCGAAGGAGATAGAATTCGATGCTCTAGAGACCCCTAATGTCATAACTACGCCCATGCCCAAGCATGGCTCAGGAATCAATGTTATTGATGTTATCTCCGCCATAGAAGATGCTGACAGTAGCTATGACATGGACAACTGGATCTTCCCTACTACCAACGGTGGACCCAGTAACTGGACAACTAAAGACTTTTTATCGATTACTTTTATTCAGAAGTAATTGTCTTTCTCGTTTTCAGATATGTAATAACTAAACAATATAAACTCTATGGCCATGTGTATTACCCGAGGCACAATGGTTTATTTGTGAGGGTTATCATGTTTCAATATCATATGTCATTAATAAAGCATTGGATGTTTTTCATACAAATTTTGGGCTCTCTATCTTTCTTTTCTGCTTTTTACTTTGTCAATACAGTTATGCTCTTACACACACTCACGTATCAAACTGCAGATCCATATCCACTATAGATCCCATTGACAACGGTTCTGCTATTGCCGGTTATGACTTTGAAAATCCGATCAACCAAGCCGAGGATGAAGGTGAGAAAGATTGTGAGGTACCAGAAGAGCTTGCTAGGCTGTTACGACAGGAAGAAAGGGCTATACAGCCCCATGAAGATCCAATTGAGACAGTGAACTTGGGCACAAAAGAGGACATAAAAGAAGTCAAGATAGGTGCAAATTTGGAGCTTAGTGTCAAACAGCAGTTGATATAGATATTGCATGATTATGGAGAGATCTTTGCCTGGTCATATAAAGACAAGCCATGACTAGATACAAATATTGTGGTTCATCGTCTCCCAATTAAAGAATATTTCCCTCTAGTAAAGAAGGTTCGTCGTATGCGCCCTGAAATGTCAGAGAAGATCAAAGCAGAAGTTATGAAACAGTTTAACACTGGGTTCTTAGCTGTCACCTCTTATCCATAATGGGTTGCTAACGTAGTCCCGGTGCCTAAAAAGAACGACAAGGTACGGATGTGTATGGACTACAAATATTTGAACATGGCAAGCCCCAAGGACGACTTCCCGCTTCCCCACATCTTTTCTATGAAAAACTAGTCAAGGATTTTATTGTGAACATCTTTTCTTATTGAAATGTTGAAGGAAGCAAGGAGTATAGAAAGATGTATTATATAGCAAAGTGTATTAAGTTTTCCCCTTCCATTATTAATGATTATTTAGGCAGAAGCAAGTCTGTAGGGTCAGACAAGGTTCCCTCTATTGACAAGATTACTGAAGAGATTAGTTATAATATAAATGTATTTTAATATGGTAATTAAGATGTCAACCATGATATGCCAGACAACCTGTATGACATGTTGGTGACTGAATTTCCAACTCAGAAGAAGGATAAGCAAGTTGCCCTTGATAATTTTGAAGTAAATGATGTGGTGAATAAGGTGAGTAACGAATTCCATAAACTTGTTGATGAGATTTTTATTGTTAAGAAATTATGTGGAAAAGTAAAGAAGCTTCCCAAGAACTCTCCATTTGTTCCTTTTCCTTATGAAGAAAATACAATCAAATGAAATTTAGTTTACTATAGAAGAATGGCTCTTGATAAACTTTATGTTGAAGCACCTAAGTACAATGAAAGTGTGGAGCTTCTTAGTGATTATCAGTTGTTGAAGATAGTGTTAAACGTTGGAGCTTGTTATCCTTAGTTGATAGAAATCTGTGGTTAAGAATGATGGTATTATTCTTGGGTTGCTGAATTTCAGTTGCAAGCTACTTATTGGGAAAGATGTGCCTGACTGATGTTTTAGTAAATCAAAATAAAGTATTTTTGTTATCGTATCCATAGAGATTGGAGCGGTATTACTAGTGATCAGATTATTGCTATCTTCTTAAGTTAAAGTTTCTAAGTGTATTGGTTTGATAGTATTTTTGAAACGTAAATGAAACGAAATAATATAAATACGAGTTCAAGAAAAAGAGTAATCTTGCAGGGAATATGTTTCCTCTACCGTTCACGTAGGAAATATACCGATTAATTATGCATAAAATCACTAACCATGTTTTTATTACCATCTTTACATACTTTTCAAAGACAACATATATGTCTACATGTCGTTTCAAGATTTCCATCGATTTGCTTAATAGATAATGTCTTAATCGATTAAATGAACCGACGAAATTTAAACTCAAGTATTCAAATGGATCTTAAGCCTAATTCTATGTCTAGCAATTAGTGTTTAAGTGATTCATTATCTTTGATTCATGATTCCAAATGCAATTGTCATTAACATTTAAATTCATAAGATTGGTAAGAATTAGATAGAATCGATAATCATAACAACATGCTTATATTAAAAGTATAATTGGTAAATATACATTTGATTTTGGTAGAGTAATCCAATCCCTAGTAAGTGAGGGAGTTTAGTTAGCCATTTTCATGGTAGCTTGTACAAAAAGGAAGAGTTGGAGACGAATGAGCATCAACGATGATTCCTCTTTCTTTGATGCGTATCCAGATTGATTCTTTGATTCCCTCCCCTAAGTGTCTATCACAACTATAAGATTACAAATATCAACTATTACAAATTGTATATCAAACTAAAAACTTATATTTTTTCTGCACTGCACTTGGTCCTTTTTATAGTGTTTCTGGTTTCCTGTGTTCGCTAAGCGCACCATACTCCACTTAGTGAAGTAGCTATTACTTCTTTATGAATAATTTTAACTTTAAACCGCCTTCAGTAAACTTCCAAAAGTTTTCTAAGTGAACCTTTTCTCGCGAAGCGAACGTGTCTCGCTATTCTTCGCTCTTGCCGAACTGGGCTACTTTTTCTTCTATCTTGAGTACGCTAAGTAAAACTTTTCTCGCAAAGCATACGTGTCGCTCCACACTTCATTCTTGGCGAACTGGCTGCTTTTGCCTTTGTCTTAGGTTCACTAAGCAAAATGCGACTCGCTTAGCGAATCGGTCCTTCGCTGTTGCTCTATTCTCTTCGGTGCAACTGACTTGATTATTTAGGATTTCTGGGTTGAGTTTGCTTGATGAACAAATATCGCTTAGCGAACCTGCCTTCTCTACAAGCTCTCTATAGTGAAACAAGACATGAGTTTTGTTGGCCTTTTTTCCATCCCTTGATCTTTTCCTGCATAAAACACAGTTTTAGTAGATGTTATTAAATTATTATCAAAATATGCATAATTTTATGAATAAGTGTTTTGTATATTAGATAAATGCTCTTTTTCGTGAGTGACTTTTTAGCATTCTTTAACATTTATCAAATCAATATCAAAAGAAATTCCTTTTAAATATAAAAGTTTTGTTTTTAAATTAATTCTTTGAGATGAAATGGTTCAAATGGAATATGCTCTTGGTTAATGGTTTTTTTTGTTCTTCTTTCACTTTGATAGAATCAAAGCATGATTATGCAATATATTTCTATGCAAATATCTTTTTATGCAATCAACAAATCAAACCATATATCTTTCTCTTTGAAACATCCTAACACTCATTCTTCATAAAAATGATAAAGATTTCTTTTTGGAGCAAATATTTTGTGGTGGCAGGTAAATTGAACTCTCATGAACAACTTTGTTAACATCTTGAATGATTCAAGTTTCTATCTTGATGATTTCCTTTTTGAAATCTCTTTGTGAGCATAAGTGTTTAAGGTTATTTGGCTATTTTGCTATTTGGTGAGTTTTTTTATTCCTCAGGCTACTAATAATTTGGATTTGTCAATCATTCTCTTTTTGACTTCTCCTTCTCTTTTTGGTTTTAATCATTTGGAGAGACTACATGTGTCTTTTTTATTCTTTCTTTGTTTCTTTGTGATGTATAGTCTCTCCTCAACTCTTCTCTTTTTCTTTCTTTTGTGATGTATAGTTTCTCCCCAACTTTTCTCTTTTCTCTTCTTTCTTTTTCAATCATTTGTTTTTCTTTTTGTTTTGCTTTGAAATCAATTTTTCATGAGTTTGAGACTTTTTTCAAGTAATTTTTGGTTCATTCTTGAATTTCCAGCAGGCTGGTTTTTTTCATTTTGTTTCAAGAGGTTTTCTTGGATTCAGATTGGTTTTTCACGTGTTCACTCAACTCACCGGTATATTTATGAGACTCTTTGGTTAAGTGGTTCTTATCAGTTGTAATAGACTTGATCTGATGCTTCACAAAATTTTCGCAAGGTAATCTTTTAGATTCCACATGATCTCCCGAGTTTCAATCAAAGTTATTCATACTCATTTCTTTTTGTGCACAATGGAAGGCTTCTTGTTGTTTTTGGATATATGATTCAAGTAAGATAATATGTGTTTGTAAGATTGAATCATGAAATGATTTTGTACAAACCACTATTTCAAAACCATGCTAAGATTCTACAAAGCTTTTAAAAACATGTACCTTTTCCTTATGCATTTTGTCCCATGGTTTATCATTACTACTCAATTTTTGCTGAATTTGTTGAAACCATATTTTTTTGCTTCTCTTTGAACATTTTTCAAAACTTGATGAGGAAAGAAAGTGAATTGCAAGCACAAGTTCAATATACCGAACATTAAAATATCCAAGTACCAAGTGATGTTACGATATTAATACCATAAAAAGGATTACAAAAAAACTGAATCGGAATTCTAAACAGAATAAACTGAACTGAAATAACTAGCATAGAATTACTAAATGCAAAATAAATTATGCTGAAAGATTTTTAAAAATATCACTCATTTTATGGAGATCTTTCAACATTGTCTCATTTTCCTCACTCTTCACTCATGTCTTCATCATCACCGGCTTCAGATGCTGACTTGGAACCTCCTGGAGTTCCTACCTCCATCTCACTTCCTTCTTCTTCTTCTTGGTCAACTGCTCCCCTTGGATAGGATGGTCTGTCCCCAGGCCACGCAATGTGTTTCACGAATTCATTTGGTGTCATGAACTGCTGGCCTGCATTAGGTTGCCCTCCTGGCTGAACCTGCATTCTATAAAAAGAATCATGAAAGAAACAATAACTCTATGGTTGGAATCGTTTTGATCCCAAGTATAGGTGAAGGCTTGTTGGAGACGTGGATCCCAATCTCCAAATTTAAGAGTGCTGGATGAAACCTTGCCCGAGGTCTATTTCTTTTTCTTTTCCAAGAAAAATTTGTCAATATAAGTGTCATTAACCTTGGTTTTGATCTTAACGTGTATTGTATTTGGAATTCATACACGTGATGCAATTATTAGTCCCATGATGAGACCGAGATACACCATAGGGTAAGTAGATTTGGTTCCACCCCCAAACTCTTTACCACTTTCCGCTATGTTTCTCATTTCATTGGCGATGATTTGTGCAACATCAATCCTTGTCCCAGACATTATCAAATATAAAAGTTGAGCCGTATCCAATTAGAAGGTGGATGTGTGACTTCTCGTCCTTAAGTTGTACAAAATGAAGAGGATGAGGACTTGAGCTTTCGGGACTAAGTCTTCCCTATGAAATCTAATATCTACACTAGAAGCATTTCTTTGCACACTTCGCCCTTCCAAAAGGTTTCTCTTAGAAATTGTTGCAACATATGGTCTAGCATTGATTGATTCTTGATATCGGCACTTCTACCCTTCCTTCAATACTAGAGGATTGCCCAAAAATTTACTAAGGACATCCCTATGAAATTGAAATGTCCCCCCCCCAACTTTGGTAGTGAAGGAGAATGCTTTTCCCGCTGAGGGGAGGGCATTGGAATAGAATTCTCGCAACACATTAGTATTTATGCTGCGGTGAGGATTCAAGAGTGTCTCCCATTTACGGTTGGTCCAAATTTCACTTAAGTCCATGTATTTTCCTTGAGGATTGATTTCAAAAATCCTTTCATACACAACATTCCCTCCTATTATCTCTTCATACCTATCTTGTTGTTCGGCTCCGAAATATTTTGTTTGGTCGAAAGTTTCTTGTGCCTTGAAGAGCATGCTCCAGAGGTCTTCTGTTTTTTTGAAGCAGCATCTCATATGGGAGCTATTCCTGATGTTTTGCTGCAAAAACTGGAGGTAGATAAGAGTTAAGGGTAGTGTGCAAAAGTGAGAAGGTGAGAGAGTGAAATTGTGAAGTAAAAAGTGAAGAGTTATCTAGGGTTATAGAAAGAGAAAAAAGAAAAATAGTAAAAGGCAGAGCTATAACGTGATATAAAGGTGTGGTAGGTGATTAGGTGGTGCTTTTAATGGTCATAAAGTAATGTTTGACCACAACGTGTTTTCTTCGCGAGAAAAGTCCACTTAGTAAACTGTCTAGGTTTAGACGTTCTCTTTGTGAACTAAGTTCTCTTAGTGAACTCTGCAATATCATAATTTTTTCATTGATGCTAACCTTCTACACCATAAACCTTTTTATGCCTCCTAACATAAAAATAGTAAAATACTTACAAAGTCGGGTTGCCTCCCGAAGAGCGCTTGTGCAACAGAATTATGGTAGTGACTCGATCAATCTCACCACCTAAGTTTAACTTCAATATTTGGCCATTAACTGTCTGAGTTACATTGGTGTTTGGATCTTCTAGTTCAACAGATCCATAAGGCTTAACATCTTTTATTTGGAATGGTTCG